TCCCTTCTATCTAAGGTCAGGAGTAAAACAAGGATACCCGCTATCGTCAGTGTTGTTCAACTTCACCGTTGATTGGATCTTATGTCGCGCAATGGAGGGTTACCAAGGCGGCCAAGTTTCCGCGGATTGCTGGATTAATTACCTCGAATTCGCTGACGACATGGTAGTTCTTAGAGGACCTGACCGCCTTGAAAACAGCTCTCAATCGTATCAAGGATTTGCCTGAGATCGGTCTTGAGGTTAATCTTAACAAAACTAAGATGTTCGCAAGTCCACCTGATAAAGCGGAACATACTCTGCAATTGGGTGGTCGGACAAAAGACCACCATCCTGCCTAATGGACAAGCCAAGGGTGATGCAAAGCGGCGCATCGACACGGCCGAAAGGCGTTTTTGTAGCTACGAACCATCCAATGGCACCGGAACGAGATCAGTTTCAAAACCAAGCTCAGGGTGTTTGCCACAGCAGTTCGACCGGTCCTAATATGCGGCTGCGAAATCTGGCTGCTGAAGGCTGAGGACATCCCACGACTGGGTCTGCGATCACCGGTGTCTTCGATTCATCCTGAAAGTAAACTAGCGGGGCAGTCTCAAACTCGGACTTCCGGAGTCGATGCCACCCGTCTTTCAACGTACATACAACGCCGCCGACAAGGGCGGCAAGTAAAAAAACTGGCTGGACACTTTATTCGAAGACGTCAACCAACTTGGCCTGCGGATGGCATACGGCACCCGTCGATGGAAAACAAACTAGATCAACACTTGCAAGGGTCTTACAGTCAACCGCCAAGCACGCATAGAGGCAACCAGAGATTCATTGAGCTAGCTTATCCTTTCCAAGGAACCAGTCGTAGTAAAGTAAGTACTTGCCTGTGTATTTATTGTGAGTTGGGCGATGATCAGTGAAGTTCACTTCACTGTATCTTGCTGCACCATAATGATGATGATGATCCCTTACACTATCGAATACCGGCTTCCTTATTATTCTAAGGGATCAATGAAGTTCGCTTCACTGAATTTCAGTGTACGATGATGACGATTCTAAGGGAGAGAGTCTACAGAGGCTTTAGCTCGGTTCCATCGTTTGCATCGCGTTCTTGTTTTACTAAACATTAACGAATGTTGCTTTGTTAAATGCACCGTGATACGTTGTGATATTTCATGCTCAAATGGTGTTCGTTCTGACTTTAATTTCTGTCTCTTGTTTCACCTAGAGGACAGTTGAAATTGCAATTATCGGATCGAGCATTCTTTTCACCGCGTGTGGGTTGTTGGCCTGGGTAACAATCGAATGTGGTCGGTAGAGGAGATAGGTGCGCGGACAAATCAAGTTTACCTTGAAGAACGGCCAGCAGTGATGGATAACCACATAAGATAATATCAGACTTCCTGAATAAGCGCAGTTCAGCTCAGTTCGCACGACCATGCACCAGTTTTGGTTGCTGTTTTTTGGCTGCCCATTTGGATCAGCATTAGGAAAAAAACAGGAAAGGTTGAAGGTAGGATCAAAGTCAAAAATTTAGAATTTCAGTGGACTAACGTTTTAGAGAAACTAACAAGATGCAAGGACGCCACTGTTTACGACACTCAGTGTCTCTAACCATCGGGTACGATCATCCCGAGGTCCCCAGCCAGGAGCCTAACGGGACCTATGTGACCCAGACTCCTGGTCAGGGTTTTTATACCCTCGTGCCAGGTCTTAGCTTAGCCACCCTTGACTTTCTTCCATACACTACTTGCCTCCGCGAACATCGCCCGCCATGGCAACCTCTCTGGTGACATGCGTAACACATGCCCCAACCAACTCAGTGTATGGAGGTCAATCACCTGTTCCAGTGGGCGACCGCGGTTGCCTAAAACTCTACGCCTAACCTCAGCATTCCTTGTCCGGCTGCCCCACCACATTCGTGAAACGTTGCGTAGACAGTGGTGTTCAAACACCGATAGTCTATCTTTATCNCTTTATCTTGTTTTCTTAATGGCCAAGTTTCTGCAACGTATAGCAGAACTGGCCGAACTGCTGCAGCATACACTCGACCCTTCACAGACAGCCGGATATCGCGACGGCGCCACAGATGTCTCAAGTTGGCAAATGCCAACCGAGCCTTCTGTATACCCGCCGACACTTCATATCTGATGCGTCCACCGGGTGAGATGTAGCTTCCCAAATAATTTATCCACTTGCCCTATTACTTCTCCAGTTAGAGTGAGGCAAAGGCGCCAGAGTGCAATGGTTTGTAGCCTGACAGGCATCATAAAGGTCTAATGATAATACTTTTACAAGCACTGTTAGATGAACCGCACGATCGATTTCGGACTTGTCTGGTATAGTCTTAAAAGAACACAGGTTCTATGTGGGCGTGAGAAGGCTACAGGTGTAATCTCCACTTAAAAGACTGACCATTGCTGGGATCAACGACCTTCTGCCCAAAACCTTGACGTGTGATGGCTTGCGCACCTGTGACCCAACGACCTCCGAAAGCCTCAGTATGGTCGGGGGTGGGTGTCTAGGGTTTTGGCTAGTTACCCTTCCCTTGAACCCCGCGAAACGCTCCCATTCGACAAAGCGTCTCGAATAGCCTCTACTGAGAAAGCCCTACCCACTGTCTTCTCGTGGCGGAAGCGTTTTCGCACCAAAGTGAGGACGAAAAGCCGATATCTGGGGCTATAACCGGGTTGGTGGACCACTGGTAGTTCACCTAGGGGAGTTGACCAAAAACCCTGCTCCTAAACTAATCATGAGGCGTAGGAACCACACACACACCTTTTCGGTTGTGACAGTGGTCACCAACTCAAATGGGCATCGAGGAGTATTGGGCACCTTGGACGTTCAAAAGTGTGTAATAAAAAATACTTTTACTATTTTGGTTTCCGCTCTTCTCAATTCGTTTCAGCAGTTCCCCACCCGTTAACATCTTTTTCGTTTATTTCGTCACTGATCAGGTTTGTCCCCAGGTATTGGACTTCTACTTTCCAATCTTTCTTCCCAGGACTGCAAAATTGTGGAACATTTTCCATTTCCGAGTTTCCAAGCCCTTTTAATGTTACCATTTATAAAAGCAGGATTAACAAATTGATTCTCACTTAAACGTTTTTTCCGCAAACATTCCCTTCACAGCAAGTCACTGATTACAGGTTTACCCCTTTTGCTGTAGATCACTCCATGTATAACAAAAAACCACCGTTGGTTATTCTACTTTCGAAAATATCGAAAATATCACTGGACCAGCTGTCCCCAGCAGACTTGTGCAAAATCAGATATGGTTCAAAGGGATAGATGTGCTTGAACACAAAGAACTCTCCCTGAAAGATTACTAAGCATATCACTCGATTTGAAAGACACACGGTGCCCATGTTCAGCACAGATAGTATGCAAAACATGAAGTTGTAGCTAGCATCGCAATTCGCCGTTCTCTCATTATTCCAAACGAATTTTGTTCCGCTAAATTCCGAAAGAAATGTGGAAGCATAGTAAGGATACAAAACCGAAAAACCTGTGTTCATGCGTTCTAAACTAATATTAAAGTGGAAATCAAATGGTTAAACGGTCTGGCGTTGCATCGACATTGACGTAACGAATAAACCATCACAGCAACATGAACAACCTAGAAAGACTTACGTGACTTGTTGTTGTGGGTTCTGGTATTGCTTGACTGGGGAGGGGTGAAAAAACTAGTGCTTCGTTGACGTCAGTATCATCTACTCCTGATAGTGGTGAGACGTTTGCCAAACTATTGATAGGACTCTCTGCATCAGATGAGGACATATTATTCCCCATCCGACGAACCCCTAAGCCACCATTTTTTCTTCGCTTTATCTTGAAATTCTTCCACAGAGGTTGCTTCGTGACTACACGCCCATAACTTCGAGAATTTTTCCCTGAGCCGGAGTCGGCCGACCGAGATCTGGAGAGCAGAGCGTCAGTTATGATTGCGGACGAAGGCAAATGAATACGCGGTGTTACTACTGCAGCAGGGTCTTCGACGCTGTGAAGAGAACGGTTAGGACCAGAGCGGTTTTTCACGGAAGGATCTGACGTGGTGTCACCATGACATGAGATGCTCAAGCGCCTCATTGATTGTAAAGCGCTCGAGGGAAGTAACTGTACATTTAGGTTGGCCGGTGGTTGTTGGGAGGACGTTGCACGATCAGAACGTGGTGAAAGGCAACCACATAATACAGAATTTAAGGACCTCTGATTCGAGCGCATTCGTTTTGATTTGGCATTACTGCGGTCGTTCATCTTTAAAAGCGATCCAACAGCACCTTCTTTGGAATTATTCACAGCAGACACATCACCATCAGACTGCTCGCGCTGTAGTAACATGGTTCAACTAAACACCAGACAAGGTAGGTAAACCATCACGTGCACACTGGTTGGAGGCCGACAATGTGTGCATTCAGAGCAATCTACACACACTGAAGATATCTCATTTCCATGACCCACAAGCTCCAGAGTGCTATATCATTGGAAAAATTGATTCCTACAGCAGGGAGCAGTCGGAATGCACTGGGTTTGACGCGATATACCATTTACAACACAAATCCAACCACAAAGTCAAAACCCCGCCAGGGTTGAAAATCGCGCCATAGAGGCAACTCAGTTCAGTTCAGTTCAGTTGCAAAGGACGAACATGGCTCTTGCCAATCGAGCGTCCAGTTCGTTGTATTATCGACGGATGGGAGTAGCTTCCAACACTGCGTACAGTTGATTGGGTATATGTGCTCCTCGCACTTCAACCCCATGTTCAGAACGTTGTCAGGACAGGACAGGACAGGTCAGGTCAGGTTACACAGGACTGATAATGGCCACGGCTAATCGAGCGTCCAGATTTCTTTCGGCAGTATGCTC